GAAATGCTTTTAACGGAAAAGTCTTCCCCTTCCCAGCGTTGGCGGAACAGCGCGTGAGAGCGGCACCGGCGCTTTCGCACAAAAGCACGTTCTGCGGAAAAGCGCCCGTGCGTGACATGAAAGGAGCAACCACATCAGGTAAAAGAAACATCTTAAGCAGTTGTAAAGTATGCCCCAGTGTGTGTCATGTAGGAGAGCTGTACAGCTGGGGCGTGTCTAAACTACATTCTTCTTTCAAAAGAGAAATGTAAATGAAGGAAATAAAAAATGCAAATGAAGCACAGATTTACAAATCTCACGCTTAGTTTGCATAATCGCGTCCGATCACTTTTTCAAAAAAAAAAAAAAAAAAACCAGTCTAGACGCAGCCACAGGGTGGGGAAGGCTTATTGCTGCTTGGCGTTTCGATTTAAAAAACAAAACAAAACCACTATCCCCTATCCATAAAGTACATGCTAAATGGATTAAATTCAGATCTGTAGTAGTTGTAAAAGAGGAATCCTCCTCTGATAGGGCTGGTAAGGGGATGCTGTAGCAATTGGTCCTGGGGCCCGCACCATTTAGCATGTTCCTCTGTGATATGGAAGTAAATACTAAATCGCTCCTGATAAAATTCTTTAGCGACACCAATGGTTGCAGTGGTAAATCAGGAGGATGACAAGGCCATCATGCACAACACAGTCTGGATTGGTTGGTAAACTCTGCCCATTCCAATACACTGTTTTTAATACAGAGTAAAGTTATATAGATTAGGAACAAGGAATGCAAGTCATACCTACAGAATGGTGGGGGAGGGAACTGTGCCCTAGAAAGGATTTAGGGATGATAGCAGACAAGCAAACAACATAAGCCCCTGCTGTGATACTGTGGCAAAAAGGCTAACGTATTAATTCCTTTGATGTATAAACAAAAGTATAATGAATAGGAGCAAGGAAAAGCTATTTTACCTCTGTATACAGTATTAGTGAGACACATACTAGAATACCGCAGACAATTCTGGTATGCACTTTTTAAAAACAATGGTGAAGAATTAGGATGCAGAAGAGTACAAAATGATTCAAGAGCTGGAAAAAAATGCCTTTGTGAGGGATTTAAAGATTTAGCTTGTCAAAAAGGTTGAGGTGATGATAGTGTATAAGTGCCTTCATAAGAAGATAATGGGGCACCTGCTTACATGAAATTTGGGATTCCTGAACACCATGGGTAGGGCCCTACCAAGTTCATGGCTATAAAAACATGTCACAGACCACGAAATCTGTTTTTTGTGTGCTTTTACCCTATACTGTACAGATGATATGGGTATGCCGCCATTTCTCAGAAGGGAGTTGCAGGGGAATATAAAGTTATGGGGCGGGAGGAGAAGGGTTGCAGTATTGCTTCCCTTCTGCACTGCCTTCACAGCTAGAGAGTTGCAGCTGTTGGCAGGGCACCCATCTCTGAAGACGGCAGCACAGAAGTAAGGTGGCAATCAATGTTCCCTCTAATTTTTCCACCCTTGTGCGGAATAAATTTTTGTATGTACACCAAGGCATGTGTGGATATGCATCATCAATAGAAACACATGTTACTGGCTATGGTAGATCTGTTAATTAGATGGATATTTGAATCTCTCTTGGCCTGTCACCCAAGCACACAGCTTACAGGGCACAGTGATGACAATACCATTCTATGTCATCCTTCTGAACTGGTGCTGGTCCTTGCAGAGCAGGGCTCCCCACCAGCAATCACTGTGCTCCAGCTACCCAGCTCTGAAGGCAAACACCCCCCCCCCCCCCCCCCCCCAACTCCCTTTTGGGTCAGGACCCCTACAATTACAACACTGACATTTCAAATTTAAATAGTTGAAATAGGGACATTAACAATTTTAAAAATACAATGACCTTGAAATTTGACCAAAATGCACCATAAATTTGGTAAGACTCTAACCAGGGGAGAGAGGAGAGGGCACCAGCCCATTGCTACTGGGTTTTAGAGATGGGATACCATAGTTCAGTGGTCCCCAACCTTTTGGGGCTGCCAGGTGCCCGGGGGTGGGGCCGCGCATGTGTCGCGCGCCCGGGGCGTCACCGTGCATGCGCCGCACACCCAGGGCGGGGGCTGTGCATGCGCTGTGAGCCCGGGGTGGCACTGCGCATGTGCCGGGTGCCCCAGGTGGGGGCCACACATGCGCCGGGTGCCCGGAGCGCAAGAATGGCTCAGGCTGGCCCTGGTCACTAGGTGGGCAGACATAAATGCCCCAGCGGGCACCGCGTTGGGGACCAATGCCGTAGTTTGTTTCTTGTTCTGTAATAGGTGTCTGATACATTTTTCAAGTTATATAAATAAGATTTTTCTCTTAGTATGACTTCAAAACATCATGCTTTTTAGATACTAATTCTCCTGAAGTCCTCCCATCCCCACTATTTTCCATCTTGTCTGGAGAAACCATTTGCAGTTTGATCATGTAGCCAGGTGCAACTGCTGTCTCACGTATTTACAACATTCACTGGGGCTCTGTCTTAGCAGAAGGATTGGTTCTTTCCCTTCCTGGCTGCAGATCTGGCCCACATCTGGCATTGCTGTTGATATGTGGGTACAGAGTTCCTCCCTCATATGCATTCATGGAGAAGAGGTTAGAGAGTTTGATGCTATTTTAAGAAGAGTTTCTCATGCAGCTAAATTTAAAGGAAGAAGATATACTCCACTGTGACTTTGGTGAAAATAGCTATTCAGGTTAACCCTTCCCCTACCACAATAGGTTATGGAGATGTACAGGAAACTGAAGTGAAAAAAGTGGCCAGACTGCAGTCAAATCTCAGGAGCCTCCTACTAGAGCTTGCAGTGACAAATCAATATGAGTTTTAATTTACTAGCAGAAACCATCCAAGAGGAACCAGGAAATCCATAGAACTATAAGGATACTGCCAAATGTTTAGTTTTGCTGAAGAGCAAATATTTAAACTACCCATGATGATGTGAAAGGTCGGGTCAGAGGGTAAGAGGGGAGTTGTCTGTCATTATAGCAAGCTTGTAGAGCCAGATAGTCAGGAACAATTCCACATGTGGTGGAAAGAAAATTCTAAGACTAATCAAACTCTGAAACAGAGGCAGGTTACATTAGCCTCCCTCAGTGGATCATATGTGCTCGTCTTAGGCCCTGGTGGAACACTCATTTGCTCTATGGGAACTGCCCTTGGCAACTGACCAAACTGCTAGACAGCTGTAAAATACAAACAAAAAACATTAAATGAGAATTGTAGAATTTCTGAGATAGGTGATGCAGGACAGGAAGCCCAGTTGACCCACCATCCAGAGTAAATAAGAGAGACATATATAAAGAAAGGGACTAGGATAAGGAGTGGCTGTTAGTGTGAAGAAGCAGTGAGAAAAAGGTGACAAGCTTAGAGGAGTAGAGGCATGGCCAGCCAATATGTTTAGAGGAAATGTATACACCAGCCCACAATGATTTGTAATACAGTAGTTATATGATCAGATAAGGGTTATTGTGGTGGAAAGGTCTAACCCTCCTCTCATTGTATTGATACAGAATTAATTCAAGTGCCTTTAGAACCCCCTGACTGAGATTAAGGGAGGAAGAGGACTGGTAGGAAGGTGACCTGGGGTTTGAGAATAACTCTCTCTCTCTCTCTCTCATTGGCAGCACTCTGTGCTAAGAATGTTCCAGCCTGTTAGTAAGATTTCTTCTCATGGGGTGCTTGATTGGGTAGCATGGTTAACCTCACATCCAGATCTTACCAGAATGGAAGCATTCTTAAACCAAACCATTGTATCAAGCCATGTTATGTTGTGTTGTGTAATCAATGGAAACAGGAGAATTTCTTAAGTCAGTGGGCCAGCATAAATATGAGTGGCTTTATACAGAGGTATATGTGTACCTGTTTGGGTGCACAGCTGAAACCGTGCAGTATACTCACCCCACTTGTTCTGTTGTTTCAGATGAAGATTTCTTGCTGTTAAAGCCATATAATTGTAAAGGTTCCAGCTGTACTGGGACATTGTAACATCAAGTCATCCACAGGTATGAGTTCTGCTTAACATGGCCCTGTTCTACTAGGCCTGCCATGACTGCATTTTTTACCAGTGTTCCTACTTGGATTCAAGATGCAAAGCAGGAGGAGGAGGAGATGGGCTGGAAATTAGTCTCCAGGCAAAGGGGTCGAGAGGCTGAAAGTCAAGGGAAATGCCAGTGTGAAATTTCTGGGACCTCCTTTACCAACGTGGACAAGCTGAGAAGTCACACGTTTGCTCATACGGAGCAGAGACCTTACAACTGTCCTCAGCTGCACTGTGGGAAGGCCTTTGCATCCAAGTACAAACTCTATAGGTAGGTGACTACGCTGAGTATCTGTCAATTCTCTCCCATCGTAGGACAGGGAGAACCCCACTACGCTGGGGTTATGACATATCTATTGGCAGGGTGGAGGAGGGAAAACCCTTGCTATTTTGCAAGTAGTTAAGTTCCAGGTGTTACCATATTTGGAATTTCTTTAGCCCCTTCCACCTGAAGACCTCACTTTAGTTAAAAATTTTAGGCCCAGGATAAGTATTCTCTGTTTGTGTTTCTGAAACTGTGCTCTGTAGAGCCCCAGGGCTCTGCGAGACATCTCCACGGGCAACGCGAGGTTAACTAACTGGAAACATCGATAGGTACAACACATACAATCAGTGGACCTCTGGGGCTCCACATAAATTTTTACGCATGTAAAGGGCTCCGGAGCCCAAAAAGTTTGAGAACCGCTGCTCTGTTTGATTGAGGAGGACTTTGAGTCACACAAGTTAATCTTACAAAGCAAACAGTAGAAGGCCACGGTATTAAAAATCTTCCTCCTGTGCTTTAATCATAAGTCCCTGGCTACCATTCTGAGTAACCAGCCACCAAACACCAAATTTAAATGCTGAAGAATAGGATGGGATCATTAAATTTGCTAAATGAGGTCATTATGAAGAAAGGCTGGATTGATTAAGGTTTGAGAGAGGCTAAAGAAAATTCCATCTGTAGGTTTCAGGTTAGAACTCAGCCTGAACTGGTATTGACAGATGCTTACTACCCTCTGGCTGCTGATGAAATGCACTACTGGTCTCACTCCAATCCCCAGGAGACAAGTATCCAACACAAAAACTACCATAGTTGGCACTAGCTATTTACCCTGGTTGGTAGGCTCAGTTGAGAAGGCAAGAACTGACTGAAAGACTACAGTATACTCTTCTTTCAGGACTGAAGCAACTTAGAAAGGGTATTGTCAGGGAAGTTTGAAAGGCCACTACTCATGATCCTTTACTGCTTTTGTGGATGGAGGATTGGTGGTTCTAAAGCTTTCAATAAAACCCCTTTAAAAACAAATTTCACACAAGATTGTAAACAAAAAAAGGCTTTGAGGGAACATTGGGAGAGCTTGCAAAAACAGCACTTACTGTGCTGTGTTGAACATTGTCCTAATTGTCCTTCTCCATTTTCCTCACACAAGGCACATGGCCACACACTCTGCTCAGAAGCCTCACCAGTGTATGTACTGTGAGAAAATGTTCCACCGGAAGGACCATCTCCGTAATCACCTGCAGACGCATGACCCCAACAAGGAAGCTCTTCACTGCCCTGAGTGTGGCAAGAACTACAACACCAAACTAGGCTTCAGGCGACATTTGGCTATGCATGCAGCTGCCAGTGGTGATCTGAGCTGCAAAGTGTGCTTGCAGACATTTGAGAGCACTCAGGTTCTCCTGGAACACCTCAAGGCTCATTCCAGGAGGGTGTCTGGTGGAGCGAAGGAAAAGAAGCACCCTTGCGATCACTGTGACAGACGTTTCTACACACGTAAAGATGTGCGGAGACACCTGGTGGTGCACACAGGGCGGAAGGACTTCCTGTGCCAGTATTGTGCGCAGAGGTTTGGGCGGAAGGACCATCTGACCAGGCACATGAAGAAGAGCCACTCCCAAGAACTGCTGAAGATCAAGACAGAGCCAGTTGACATGTTGGGTCTCCTAAGCTGCAGCTCCGCTGTAACAGTGAAAGAAGAGTTGAGTCCAGTTTTATGTATGGCATCCAGAGACATGATGAGTGGTAAGAGCTTTCCTGGCATGCTACCTATGGGCATGTACAGTACACACCTCCAAGCTATGCCAAGCTCAGGGATGCCCCATTCTTTGGTCCCCACCTCTCTTCCAATGGGAATGAGTTATCCTCTGGAATCTTCTCCTATCTCCTCCCCACCACAACCTCCTCCGAAGTACCAGCTTGGATCTACCTCATATTTACCTGAGAAACTACCCAAAGCAGAGGTGGAGAGCTTTCTGTCAGAGCTGCCTGGCAGTCTCTCTCTCTCATCTGGTGAGCCTCAGTCGTCCTCGCCTCAGTCAGTAACTCTGGATGAGACTCTGCTTTCCAAGAGCCCTGCTAATCTTTCAGAGGCTCTCTGTGCTGCTAACATGGACTTTTCTCATCTTCTGGGCTTCCTCCCCCTGAATCTTCCTCCATGTAGTCCACCTGTGTCATCAGGAGGGCTGGTCATGGGCTACTCACAAGGGGAAAACCAGCCATTGCTCACCACTTTGCAACCTCAACCTCAAGAATCTCCTGGATCTGGAGGCTCCCTGAACTTTGGTCCTCTTCATTCATTACCCCCGGTCTTCACCTCGAGCTTGAGCACGACCACCCTGCCACGTTTCCACCAGGCATTCCAATAAGATGACTGTGGCAGTGGCGAGCAGATCGTCCCCTCGTCCTTGCTTGGAGAGCCTTGAAAATGCACAACTCTGATACTTCCCCACTGGGATGTGAAAGCTTTTGAAAGCTTGTTTCAGACGGGATGATTCTGGTGTCTGGAGGGAGCACTTGTAGACTGGAAGAGCAGCTATCCCTGTGCATGTCCCAGTCCTGTTTTGTGAAAAGGTTTCAGCTGTCTTTTTTTTTAAAAAATTTTTAATCTGTGAATCGGGAGCCACACTTAGCACTGACCTTCCCTGAGGCTTTGGAGCCTTGTTCCTTTTTGGGAAGGGGATTGAATCCAAGGAGCTGGGACTGTTTTAGCTTGGGCATACTTGGACTAACCTTTTGAAGAGTCCAACTTCCATTTTATTTAAACACATTGCAGTTCTGATATTAAAGCTAGTACCTGCCGGTGAATCTGGAGGAGGGGCAAGTTCAAAGA